TTTTTTTGGCTAAGTCCACACACAAATCTTTTTTACGCACACATACAAATCCTGATTTACAAGTACAAAATATTTATGACCACATTTTGAGCCCATAACCTGCTATTAACATGTCAAACATTATGACAAACATACCAATCACCATTTCTAGGACTGGTTCATAGTTCACTACATCTGTCACCTCACTATCTTAATAATGACTTTAATCAACTCACAAGAGCTGACCCAGTTCTTTTTATTGCAATAAAGCAGCTAGGATGGCTCTGCAGGGCTTCACAGACTAACGTCCTGCAGACAGCAGTGTCTGTGGGTGATGTTCACGTCTGGCTTTAAGCTACGTGTGTGGACAGCACGGTGAGTCGTGATCACAGGCAGGGATTTCTGAAGACGTGCCCATTTTTAATGCAGTGCTGCCCGAAGCTACGTCCCTGCACACAAAGATCGAACCTTCTAATGATCTTATCAACTATGTCGATTCAAGTTTCACATTTTATGCTGAGGAAAATTGTGAAATTGCTCCACAGTTTGTTCCTCCGAGTGTTTCTTATGAGTAACACTTTTCCAGCTTCTTGTTGCCCTTACCCTTCTTCTTGAAATGTGCTGCTGCCATCAAATTCAACATGAGCTTATTTGTTTTTTCATGAAACAAAAATAGCTCAGTTTAGATATTTCATGTTTTCTATGTTTTACTGTGAATGATATTTGAATATGAGATTGTCAGATCAACTATGTTCCTTGCGCGCGCGCACACACACACACACGATTTTTGGAACCGAAGTTGTAGAAACCTTGTTTACAACACCAGCATGCCTACCATGTGTCCTTCCTTTATTCTCAGCGACCTTCAGGTGTGTGCAGACAAACACAAGCTGTGTTTGACCATGATGAAGGCGAGCCACAAGCCTCGGTTACAATTTCCACGTCTTGTGATGCAAATTTCAGAACTGTGAGGGTCTGTGTCTGCACGGCTGCCTAATACTTAGTCCTTTACAGACACCAGGTGAGCCAACAGCAAGTATTCATTCCTGTTATATCTCTGAACTCTGCCCATTTAAACGACTAGTTACAAGATTTAGCACAGGTGTCAGCACTCTGTGAATAAATACAGTGTAATGGGAGATGTTCACGTCTCCAGAACATCTGAGTACAACCAATGGATCTAAATAAACAGAAAAATCTTTGCACCAAACACTGCAGATTTCTGTGTGCCCTCACTCACTGCCCCATGTGTACAGTCAACAAGCACCATGACCTCAAGATTCACTGTACTGTGTGTGGACAGTACGGTGTAGGCGAGTCCTAACCACCATATTTATGTGCAGGGCAATTGTTGACAGGCTGGAAAGTGGGCCCAAACAAGGCAGCGATAAAAAAGATAATTAACAAAGACGGGGAAAAAAAATAAAATCAATCAAGGTGGAACAGTGGTTTGCATCACTGCCTCACAGCAAGAAAGTTCTGGGTTTGAGTCCACCACCTGGTTAGGGCCACTCTGTGTGGATGTTCTCCCTGTGTATGTGGGTCCTCTCCGGCTGCTTCCCATAGTCCAAAGTAGGGCTGGGCCATATTATACCGTTCACGGTAACACCGGTACAATGTTGGGCAACGATAAGAAAAT